TTAGCTTTATGTTCTGTTGCGACTTTACTTCACAGTAGCAATTGATTGACCTTGTGGATTGCTATTTTTCCATATTTGTAATGCTTCCATTTAAACATCTTTGTTCAGAATTGCTTGTTTACGAAACGTTTGGCATAAGTTGAAATCATAGGGATGCCGTTTTCTTCCGTTTCTCAGTGGATTTTATACTTGAAAAGGCACCAAAATATGTATGCAATACTTCTACATATCTTCGTTTAAAGCACAAAACCGCGCATCAAGGAAATGCAAAACCTCGTATGGGAGGTTGCCTAAATTTTATAGGAGAGAGTGAAACTGGTCCCAATTAAAACCGGTTCTCTCTTTTAAACTTAAAAATCTTCTCTCCTTATGTCTAAGTCGATATTTTATTATATCGATATTTTATTATAAATGGCTAAGGGCTTGATGTCAGGAGCTTCCGATGACCAAATATCTTTTTTGGCACAAATTTCAGTTCCGAGGTTTTGCAGAACCACGATACGCGCTTTTGTACTTTAAATGACGAATATGTATATCGCTTGAACAATATGTTAGTGTTTGGCCTAGCTTCTCCTCCGATATTCCGCGTGCGTGATTTTGTCACACAAAGTAAAGGACAGTTTTACGCCGACTCCGAACGGCAATTGTATTTTAATGAGAAGTTGTTTCCATGACAGAATACACTCGGAGGTTTACTATTACCAACAGAGGGGCAACCACTATTAGAAAAACTGGGCTTGAACTCAGGCTCTGCGTAATGCTCTACAGCAGCCGCCACTACTTTTACATATATTGCTGGTATATTCAAAATACTATCCCGAACTTCGGAGTGTATGTATGTAATATAAAAAAGAATGAGAGGTACTATAAGAAAATGTACCCAAAATTCTGGAGCAAATGGAAAAATGCTCATTGAAAATAGTTCACATGTATAAATTAAAAGATATAACTTAATAGGTTACAGCGCTAAACAAAAGGAAAAGCTAGAAAAAATAGCAATGCGGTTTGAAGGAAACATGAAGCCATAAAATGCTTGTTTGTTTCGTTAATACTCTGAACTTTGTAAGATATGGCACTCTATTATTTGCAGTAGTTTGCTAATATTCACTAATGGTTCTAAAATCGCAAACATTTTCGTGGGATGTTTTTGTTTGATTTCGAATTGAAAATACATTACGATCATATTGTACCGAAATAAGTGCGGTATCCCTGCATTTTTATAAAAGCCAGAAAGAAGCATAAACTGTATGAAAAAATGAAATGGAGAAGTATACATGCCTTCTATAATTTTGACTTATATGTATATTTGGCTTTGGCTTTGTGTAAACAACAAAAAATACAAATTTTAATTTCTTTGCCAGCTTTGAAAATATAGGCTTATTGTTACTTAAACGTGATATAAAGCTCATTAAAATGTTCTGTAATGTCTTGTTGTAAGTTTGTTATCATAGTTCTTCGTATTTTTATTGTCCACTAAACGTGAGTGGCTTCAATTTAAAAAGTTCTAGTACAAAGAATTTCTTTGTTTTGAATTGGTATGTTTATTGCATCGTATATACTTACAAGTATGGAATCCTATGCCCCTTTTTGTCTATTCTCTTTCTAACAACGGACGTGCCTGCCAAACAGCGGACGTGCCTGCCAAACTGAAAAGCATGATGGCGGCAGTGTTTGACAGGCACGTTCGACGATGCGAACGGCAATGGAAGGTAAGAAATGGAAGATGGATGACATGAGAATGAAATAATTATGAAATAGCAGAATGTCGAAGCAAAAAACGAATTTGAGAAATGTGACAATGCGAATGACGTTAAATGAAAGAAATGTAAAATAGCGAAATGTCGAAATAGAAGAAATAGATGACAGGCTCGTATTCAAGGGTTTCGTGAAACAAAAAGTGTTGCTGTGTTGCGCCATAAAATATTTAAATACTTTTTTAATGTGGTTAAATTGAATCATACGCTTTTTTAATTAGTTGGCAAAAGTAAGTTGGAGCTTAAACTCACATTTAATGCATGAGGTCCAATATCTTTACTGCTACCTTGTGTTGCGTCCAGTAAATAGTGGCCAATTTTTACGAGTGCCTGTGGGCCTCTGCCAGTAGCTGCAGCTGCGGCGGCACGTGATTGTGGCATAACGTTGATGTAAGCGTAAAATAAAAAAAGGTTTGGTAAGGTTTTTCGGGCCGCTGCTTAGGCCACAATCGCAAATGCACCCACACATGCGTACGTGCTGCGTAGAGACGTAAATTATAGTTTTCCCCGAGCTCCAGTTTCTTATCGCACTATTATTTCCCTTATTACTTATAATTCTCTGCCACGATTTGCGCTGCTCGGGCCACGGCTGCTTGTACAAGAAAATAAACCATTTGTTTAAACGATGATCATCTTACTTGTCCGTATGTCGCTCTGGAAAGAAATATATATTAAATTATATGTTTTCTTAAAAATAAATGCAAATTTACCTAATTTTTCCACCGGCAGGCACGAATATGATGTTCAAAACAAAAGCAATGACAACGAATTTCACACACATTGATGTATTTTAGCGCAAAACGATAAGTTTCACAAATATTTTAAATTATTGCCTGGAACATACACATTCATCGTTATTATTGGAAATGCAAGACTTGGCACGCATTTTTAATTTCTTTTTTATTGAATTCAAATGAATAAAAACACATTTTTCTAAAATAATTCTCAATTTACATTTTAAAGTTTTTTCTGAAACTTGAATGTAACTCTGTGCGGAGAATGAGAGAATTGAAAATCAGGTGATCTCAGCTGTTTTCAAATGTAAACAAACAAAATGGCGCTTTCCATACTTGTAAGCCTATACAATGGTTTATTGCTTTTAATTTTTAAAATTCATACTTTTGACATGTATGTGAATGGCGGAGTTGCCGCTTTCCTCCTTTTCGGTGGGTTTTTTATATTAAAAAGGCATCAAAATGGGAAAAACCCCCCCTTGGTATCTCTGCATCTGTTAAACTTTTTATGGGAAGATGTATGAAAATTCAACTTGCTATAATTTCATATGCTTAACAGTATCACAACAGTATGTTTACAGTATCTCCCCATAACTTTTCATATGAAAAAATTTATTATATGCATCCCACTCGATATCATTGAATTCCTCATTAGAACATGTAGTCCCTCTATTTTAGCGTATCAACAGTTCATATGGCTTCATACCATGTAAATGCGCCATAAGGCTCTGATCATAGAATGTCTTCTTATAAGGGTGGAGAAGTGCCTGCGCAAAAATGTCATTTATTGAATGAGGGAAATTTTTGAACATGCAGCTGTATATAGCATGCATTTAGGCGCCTGGTGTTAGCAGTCGCGCCTAAACAGTATTATGAGATTAGTGATATTTAGGAGCGTGATTAAAAAGGCTCTTTAGAGCACAATATTAAAACCTAATATGCAACTTCCAAATGAAAAAAAATACGAATGCCACATTTTCTGAGATAATCGAAAAATTCAATCTTCTTAACTGAACGATTAACAGACATTCTGTAGAAGCAGTTTCCAGCAAAAGAGAATAAAATATAATGTGTGCATCGTCTTTGCTCTACCTTTATAACAATTTATACTAAGGCAGTACCCAAAGTGTTGTATATTGTCGTATTGTTGTATGATGTAAACTTTAAATGGCAAAATTTCACACCAACAAAAAATAGTTGGTTGTGGTTTCGAGTAGTTTTAACATTTATTTAGCCGTTAAAAACTTTACGACATACGACAATACGTAATTTTTTGAACCACCTAACTATATTTATGTGAATTGTGGAGTCATTTTCATGTGTACCTTTACGAGCATTTTTCGGTCAACCTATCAATATTGAAATTTTTTTCGACAATTTTGGAGTTTTTAATAAAAACAGCAAAAGTAAAGGATAAACTGTTAAAGAAATAAACCTTAAATTGTAAGCAGCGGTCAAGCTATCCTTTTTATTATGAAATGAAAGCTATTTTCTTCATTTATTATTGTTGTAAATTAATTAAAATATATATCGTGCCACAATCCAATCATTTAGCTTTCATTTAAATTCATTTTTCTTTAT